GATTGTGTCCGCGGTGCGATGACCGTAGGAAAAAATAAACAAAAAAGCACGTTATCTTCCCGTTGTCGTCTTCAAGAAAACAACACCGCCGCCACACAGCCCCCAAAAGTGCATTCGCTTGAGCAGTTTGGTGGTGGGCAAGCGTGGTTCGTGGGTTGATTGGGTTCTTGGAGTGGAGGGAATAAGGGGGGGTTCGTCTGAAGGAAGCTTGAAATTAAAGTTTGGACGGAAAAAGTAAAAACTATTTTATGTACGCACAACATTAAGTCAGTATGTCATTGTTAAATTAAGTATGTGTCAACGTGTTTTCTGAATTCCTTCATTATTGTTGGCGCCACGGTGGCAATATGTCGTGGGTTCGATCCCCACCCTGACGAGTTTGCATGTCTCTCCTCGTGGTCGCGTGGATTTTTCTCCGCGTCCTCCGGTTTCTCCTCCATATTTAGAAACATGCGTTTAGAGTATTTGGTTGATACATTTCCACGTGATAATCCACTTCGTTGGGCTGTCATGTGTGGTCAGGTCGCTTCTGTAAAAGAGCTGTAGAGTTCAGTAGGCTTTGCCTGGTAAAAAAAAGTAAAAAGTTTCATTATTAACACTCCTTTGCACTAACACAATAGGTATAGTTAGATCTTACATAACATCTTAACCTAAAAGGTATGTGTGAAATATAATATAAAGATAAATTTTTTTTTACAACATTTTTAAATAGGGTGCTTTGATTTGAAATATTACACGTTAGGTTAATTAATGAGCTTAGAATGTATATTAATCGCTCATATCTGTAATCCGTTGTCGTATAGTTTATAACGGTAGGCTGACAACGTCAAAACATCCCAGTTCATTGTAATGACTTCCAGGCATCACGACACACGGGACTCTGGCTTTACGGGTAAAGCCTTCCGAGTACTGCCAACGTTTTCGTGGCGAGCTAAAGAGAGCGTTACTCTGAGCTGGCATGCGCCGAGATCCAGTCATGATCTAATTAATCCCACACCACGAGATATGGAGAGGCCGGGGCGGCTTTTATGCAGGCTGTAGTCGGGGGTGTAATGATTCCCTCCCACCGATTATACACATCGTTGAGATTCAGAGCTGCGATTTGATTTGAGTATCGATTCTTTTTTGGTGTCCTTTGTATTTGAGCAAAACAAATTCGGTTTGTGCAGTTGTATTTAATCATCATCATCATCATCCATGGTCAATCCATCATTGGATAAAAAGTCCCCCCTCCCCAAGTAACTGCCGCCACTCATGCATGGCCCACCAATCTATCAAGTTTCTACACACGCTTTGATTTCACTCCATATCTGTGGTGGACATCTCAGGAATGTTCCATCCTTTGGCTGCGATTCCATTATTCTCTAATCCACGTATCCCTTTTCTGTCTCTCAGTGCAATTCAAAGCAAACGTCCCTCGACGTTTACACAGTTTCTCTTTGTCAATGTCCATGTTTCTGATCCGTATGTCAAAACATATGCAGGATTAAAACAAAATATATCTTCAGCCACCCTGTTATTTTGAGTTTCATTATTATGTTCAGTTTTTTCAAAGCAACTCATCCAACCTCATCTCAATAGCCTCTTTAGTCGCCTTCATTAGATGGCCTGTGCGTCCAAGCTGCCCTACAGATATCAGTGGCATATAGTTAATCTGCATAACATAAACAAAACATGTTTACGCACGTGATTGGATGTACGTATTGTGAGGTTCAAAATGTGATATTGATCAATTAATATTTTACACCCATATTCTACAGGGCATCCGATTTATAATCTATTTATATTATGCTCGTTTATCCACGAAAGCCTCACTGAGCTTCGTGTCTCTTTTTTCAGGAGGGTGCTGCTAAGTTTTTGCAGTAGGCGGGCAATGATCGTTATGTACAGTGGAATTAAGTGAGTTGCGGTGTCATTTGTATAATTTGTAAAATTGGGCACATTTGGACCTTGACGCCGCAATGGGCCACTCTTGCGAATTGCGTCACCGGATCTTTAGCATCCACCACGAATAAGACGGCGCTTATTTCTTTACGATTAATACCCTCGCATTATTAATCAGGGCGGCCCGCTGGATTCAAGCCGTGAACCTTTGTAGCACGTGGCAAACGCAACTAACTATTGCTTGGGCATGCCACTGATCACTGACCTAGAGTGCATGTCGCACGCGTATACTCACTCGCGCGCACACACGTGCGCGCACACACACACGTGTACACACACACGCGCACACACACACACACGTGCGCATACTCGCTCGGGCTGCCACCACCGAGGTAAAACAAAAATACCAGGACCTGTCCTGGGAAGAAGATTATCTCCCACAATACCTGGAAGGGGGGAGAACACAATGTTAACGAGACTATGCAAACTATCAACGGTGTGGTGTATTATTACAAACCCCAAGACGTTCCATGTCCCAGAAAGACTTTGTTTCCACTTGGGAAGTTATAATAAAAAAGGATGACAAAGACCCCCCGTATAGCCTTAACAGACTGTAGGGGCAAGTGCTGTTAGCGAGCACCTATGAAGGCTGGCACGGTACACGAGGGGGTGGGTGGCCAGCACCACGCCCCACCGCCTTTGTCGCCCCAGGGGTGATGTTTACACACCGCACCAGGTACTCATTTGAGGCCGAGTCTACCTAGGGGAGGCCCAGGACCGGTTCAGAGTAATCGTCACCAGTGTTGGCCGTGAGCGGGAATCGAACCCGGGTCGCCGGGTTCATAGCGCAGCGCGCTAACCGCTACACTACCGCTCCGCACAATACTGATAGGCAGACAGGCACACACACACACACACAAGGTCATGACCGAAAACAACATTTCTTCTCCAACAAAGAGAAGTGATCGTAGGGCCTAAGAAGCTCATCTTACCTGGGATCAAATCTCCGGGTGTCACGTGAATCCCACCCTCAGAGATGCATCTTTTACTCTTGAAATCACGGCGCGTGTGTGTTTCCTGCCTGTAATGGAACCTTATTTTAAAAATGTTGCTCACGGTCTTCGGCTCGCAGAGGTCAACAAAAGAATTGGGTGGCGACGAGACTCAATCTCAATGTGTTTTTAAATCCTTTATATTAAGTTCGCTTGCTTGCTTGCGTGCTTGCGTGCTTGCTTACGACCGTGCAAATCTTTCGATCGTTTTTTAACCCACTTCCCGTGATCCAATCGAGCTGACATTTTGCACACAGACTCGTTGTGTGAGACAATTAATGTTCGTGAAATTTTTTTCTCCAAAATTTTACACTGTTTAGGGAAAACAAATAAAATATGTAATTACCAATTGCTTAATACTGGCAGACAATCATCTGACCCATAGGTGGCAGCCATCTCAAGCCAGAGGACGAGAGGACTCTAGCCGCCACGCAGATAAAGGATTTATAGTGAAAAACTTTGTTTTTACGGGTTATACTTGTTAAATCCTTTATATTAAGTTCACTTGCTTGCGTGCTTGCGTGCTTGCTTGCTTGCTTAGGACCGTGCAAATCTTTCGGTCGTTTTTTAACCCACTTTCCCGTGATCCAATCGAGCTGACATTTTGCACACAGACTCGTTGTGCGTGACAATTTATTTTCGTGAAAAAAAATTCCCAAATTTTACACTGTTTAGGGAAATTTTTGTTTAATATTTAATTACCAATTGCTTAATGGTGGCAGGCAATCATCTGACCCATAAGTGGCAGCCATCTCAAGCCAGAGGACGAGATGACTCTAGCCACCCCGATGCCACGCATATAAAGGATTTATAGTGAAACACTTTGCTTTTACGGGTTAATTTTTTTACCCCCCATTTAAAGTGAAATTTGCAGGTGATTAATTGATATAACTGGAATGTGGAAAGTCGTTTGTAATAACGCAGCGGTTGCCTCCGGGTGCACAAACTGGTTCTCCTGCCGCAAGGGAAGTGCATCGATTACATCTGCCCACGTCTGATGGAATCTCATTCGCAGCCACTGCCAAATTGCCTTTCAATTATTCAATTTAACAAGCTGCACGCATCTCCTGAAATTTCAAAACATTACGAGATACCTCTCTAAACTGCAGCTATAGGAATCACCACCGGCAGACAGTATATTTAACACCGTGTGAGTTTTGTAAATTAGTGCCATGCTCCTCCTGCAAAGGTTTTCGCAATTTGCGCTGTACGTCTCTCCTGTCCGTTTTCGGGTCGAACCGCGTGGCGTTGTCCGACGTTTCGCTGTGCGTGCTGGAGCTACTTCAGGAACGGAAAGCGATGTTATGTATGTATGTTGAAACTTCGCACCGCACGTAGACAGCCAACCTAACCGTAGATAATGATTATCAGTTGCAAAATCACTGAAAACAACAATAATAGCCAAACGTTGTCGTGCATATCTCATTGGACGACGCTGCACATGGCACACACGTGGCACACACATGGCACACACGTGGCACGCAAGGACCGTGCACGTCGATCCGGGGAAAATCCTTCCGTCTCTACAACATGTGGGACCCTCTAATACAAATCCATTGAGCGTTATATTGAAGCCTTATCTTGCAAACTTAAAAAAAACGATTTTTCTTCATATTTCTTATAAAACAGTACCCCGTGTCTGTTTCAGTTTTTGCGTGCATCCCAACACACAAAGAAAGAACAGTTTACGCTGCCCATACACAAATAGAAAATGCACGTTTTGTTCAAAGGACTTTTTTCGACTGCGAGTTTGTAGCCTGGGACAGAATGCGAGTCCCCTTTTTATCCTCACAATTTTAAGGAAACTTAAAAAAGTAAACACAAAAGGCATATTCACTCCGCCTCCCTTTGTGTGATTGTGTTAACTATTCGGAATTCTCTTTCATTGTGTCCTTAACAATTTTTTTAAAGCAGAGTCCTGACCTTTTAGATGTGAGCTGGATTAGCGGGGAGCTCCCCACGACACTTTGAAACACTGCGGCGCTGGCACCAGAGCCATTCCTTTTTATTTTAAACAGCCAAACCACTTTGGCGTTGATGCAGTTATTTCACGAGCCGTTTGCGATCACTTAAGCGACTTTTATTTACATTTTGCTGGTCAGTACAAGGGTAAAAATGCGGCGACTTTCAGACACAGTACAATGTCAAAGGAAGAGCACGGCTCGTTAAGCATCTGGTACATTTCCTCCTTGTTGTAAATGTTATGTATGAAATACAATGAGATAACAACAATAATAATAATACAAAGCAGTGGGAGTACTTGTTTACACATTTACGTCTGGCGTTCCAAACAACAACAACAACAGCTTTAGCCACCTCCCTTCTAAAAGGTAATGGGGGGGGGGGGGGGATTTATATACAGTGTACAGATTATATACAACGCTGCGCTTCATATGAGACAGCAAGTTGATCGTCAGGCTGGGCAAGTTCACGGATTATGGTTAACATTATTTTTAACCACTGAAGTTAATCTGACGTGATGATGTTGATGATTGTGATCATCATCATCATCGTGACCACTGGAGTTCATCTGACGTATGCTTGCCACGGCAATGGCTGACCTCTAACGATTGTGCTCTCAGCGACTATTGCTACTGCCACTGCTGCGGAGTTTAATTATTCAGTACTTTGTGAGACAGTATGAAAGTTTGTGTGACACCAAGGCTGCGTGAGCCGGAGACACAATCCACGCATTAAATACACATCCACGCTTTGCTAGAAAGAAGCATGCACTCATTCTAGATTTGAAGCTTTCGTGACTGCAATGATTCATATTGTTAGGTTTTTTCGGTAAAGTCACGTAGGTAAAAATTTTAAATTAATAAAAGTAAAATAAAACGTCGTGATTTTTATTTTATTTTTATTTTATTTTACTTTTATTAATTTTAATTTTAATGTTTTACCTACGTGACTTCACCGAAAAAAACCTAAGAATATGAATAAGCATGCACTCCTTTGTTGTTTACTGGATATTGCCTCATAGATCACCAGAGTGGCATCCGTTACAGTGCTGAAATAATTCATAGGCTATTTAGAAAAATCGATTGTTTAAGATTAAATGGATCTGTTGTTGATTACATGGTAATGTGGGGCAGCTGGCCTGCATTTGAAACTGCTGGAAACTCGCCGCTCTGCACGCCCAGAGTGCACTGGCAGGAATGAGCGGTGAGCGGGAAAACGATGATCACATCGACGGCATCATCAATTCCATCGAATCCTATGCCAAGACATGTTTTGAGCCACGCGTGCGGAAATTGTATAGCTATTTATGTAAATGCCAGGCAAATTGTTTGCTCTGTCAATAAATCGATGAATGAACTCGATAATCGAGATATTAACCGATCACTTTAATATGCGATGTGTTCTAAATGCATATAGCAACAATGAATTAAACATAATAACATCAATGATTGGGGGGCGAGGGGAAGATTTGATTAATAGCAAAAACCAATGAGGAATACAAATTTCTGCAATTTCATTTGGGGCACTGCCTCACGAGAGTGCAAAACCCATGGCAGCTCAAATTCCTGCGAGCATTTGAAAGAACGCATTTCAGTTCATGCAGGGTCGCGTCAACGGAAATATCACACAGAGGCGTCACAATGACGGACAAACCCCCCCATTTTCAAATCCAGTTCAGAACCTAAAATGTAGGCGGGGCAAATAGTGCACAACCTGGACTCGGTAAACGCCGACCAGTGCATTACTTTTCAAAGCAACTGCAGTCCTCGTTTGAAAATAATCAATAAGTTGTGCTTCGTGGGCTCATGCCTGGTAGTAATTGGTCTTTTTTCAACCGGGTGAAAGTGAGGTCCGTTCATGTGCGCGTCACCGCCGCCTGCTGCCCACGGAATGCACAAACACACGGGACCCCACCGAGCAGCCTGCCCCGCGCGCTAGGCGACTGCGCGCAGAGTCTGTAGCACAGTGCGAATCAGATAACGCAACGATTTAACGCGAGGGGATGGGGGGGGTGCAGAAGCAGGGGGTGACACATGGAGCTGGACAACGGACAGAAAAATGTGAAAGTTTTCTAAACTACAGTATTTGCCTTCTCAGTTACTGTTACTTATTTTAAAATATTACCGTTAATATAGTGTGGACCTCTATGGCAGATCTGCGCGTAATCTCTCACATGCCCCGCTTTCAAACTCCGTTCAGATGCGTGCTTCCACAGCGCCGCCGTGAATGGCCATCGTTTGATGTGCACGAAAAAAATCCCATCCTGCAGCTGCATTCAGACGAGGCCAAGGCAGCCTGGTTCCTCTTAACTTTGCGAGGAATGTTTCGTGAAACGATTCGTTGGTGGTGACATCCAGTGCAGGGCAGCGGCGTTGCGTTGCATTCCAGTCGGGCCCAACATGTGGCTCAAGTCCGCTGTCATGCGCAGTGCAGTCCCGTTGCATTAGACAGACGCCACGGCAGGATAAAAAAAAACGATTAAAAGCACACATTATAACGAGAGGCAAACATGTGCGCATAATCTAACATTAATGTGCCGCGTATGGAGGGAGTCTCAAGCCACCCCTATTAAAGAAGGCGTTAATCAATTCTAACAGTCGATTGAGGCCGCCTCTCCCCTGCTTGCACTCTGATTGAGGAAAGGAGAGGTGGTGAGTCCTGTTGTGGAGGACTGGCGACTGAAGAGATCAACACTTTCCGCTAAATCCAAGACCCGGCAGAGAAAAGGACAAATTTCACAGAAGCAACACGATCATCCTTCATGGTGATGGGAGCTCTGCCACTACTGATTCCTGCCAATGTGACGGTGTTGCGGCAACTGTAGAAAATTTGTCACCAAACCACCAAATGTACCACTGCCTAATTAGTGGGCGTGGGGTGGGGGGAAATTGCATGTGTCATTTATTTTATCAAATTTTTTTCTCCCTCCATAAAATTGTGAGCAGGCTAAATACTCACAAGTAGGATACATATTGACTTGAGCCAAACCGCATGGCAAATATTCTCTTGCTGGCTGCTGACTTGCAAAGCTGAGTGTACTTCCTATGTGATAAATCAAGGTCCATGCACTTCTGTAATTAGAAACGTCATCTTTGCTGTCCTGCCAGCATGATGAACAAAACACTAACTGCGGGTTTTTGCTTTCAGTGCAGGGGCATATCTATCAAGTGTGCTGGTGGTGCCAATGAACCAGGTCCTATGGGCCTAAGGGGCCCCGCCACTCGGCTTCGAAGCGGTGGGAAGATTGGACAAGGGCCTCCAAATTATTTCATCTAGTCAGCCAAGCTTGGCCTAAAAAATTTAATAAAAATAAAGAAAACAACATTGCAACGTAATTTAGAAACGTAATTTTTTAAAAATTCACCTTCCTCTCCTCCCTTTCAATGTGGTCTGTAAAATACAACCGTGGGCTCACGCTAATCACGAGCTGAACACCGCTCCCGGACGCCGCTCACACCACGGACATCGCCGTGGTCTCCTGGCGCAAGCGGGCGATGACGTCCCCGCGCTGCAGCCGGCCCAGCGCGTCGACGAGCGTGTCCTGCGTGGAGCCCGGGAGCGCCGCCCATGCCGCCAGGAGGGCCCGCGCGGGCCGCTCCTCCCCGGCCAGTGCCTCCGTCTCGTCGGCGTCGTAGCCGAGCGCCGCCGCCAACCCCCGCCAGCCGCCGCCGCCACCCTCCTCGTCGGCAGAAAGCAGCTCCTCCACCTCGTCGCGCGTGCACGCCGGCAGCGCCGCATAGCTCCACTTGCCGGCCTCGCCCGCGCGCCCTCTCTCTCCGCCGCCGCCGCCATCGCCGCCGCTGGCGCCGCCGCCGCCGCCACCTGTAGAAGCCATGAGCAGTGGCGTCAGCTCATTGTTTCGTTGCGGCGAGCGACTGCAGCTGTGGCAGTTGCTGTGTGGGGTTGTGGTTCACAGCCAGCCGGCCAAGAGCAGCAGACGGAAGCCAAGGTGCTGCATCGGAATTTGTGTTGCCAAAATGTACGGCTATTTCTGCTTAGGCGGAGCAAGTGCAAGTTTGGACCATGGGTCGTAGCGGCCCAGGGATCACGCTACAAAGAAGGGGGGAAATTATCGTTGGCATGGACTCGAGCGGTGCGAGCGGTGCGAGTGGTGCAGCGTGACCCGCCACGTGGTTGTGTGATCTCCGTGTGGCTCGAGTACCGGAGGCGGTGGGCGGCTGTGCGCCGTGCGTGTCCACGAACACGCCGCTGTCCTGGTGCTGCTTCTCGCCGTCGGCGGCCGCGCTGTACTCGCCGCGCGCCTTGCTGCCTTGAACGTTCTTACAGCTGTGCCACCTTCGCGCACACACGCACACACGCAGGCACCAAGACAACGAGACGGATCCACCAGTTAAATTCGTAAACTCTCAGTGCAGTCAGCGAGCACCCGTTGAAGCTGGTATGGCACATAAAGGAGTGGGGGGGGGGGGGCACAGCCACGCTCGGTCACCTTTGTTTCCCCAGTGATGATGTTTATGCATCCAAATGACAATGAAATCCATTTTATCCATATTCCTAAAAAATGCTGCTCCTAAACCACCCCCTGCTCCCATCGAATTTAGCCATGGAAATGCTTCTTATCTGCGAGAAAATTATTTGCATTATCAGCACTTATCCGTTGTTGATGAGTCAACTGGAAGTTGCTTCCCTGAAGCATTAAAATAACCCTTTTATTCGAGTATTTGTGCAGATAAGAGGAGTGGTGAAAATGTATCATATTATCTGTGTTTGTCAATGCTTTACTGCACAGGAATAAAGTCAAATTTTGCATGGATAAACGTGAATTATAGGATCTGCACATCTAATCAGATAGGATGCACTTCACAGCACTTTTTTTGCACCAAGTGGGAGTTTAGACAACGCTACCGACTCCTCAAGGGGAACGTTGATAAACAATCCTTGAAAAAAATGTAAAATATCAATTGACATTTTTCCAAGTGTTACTCACATGGTCAACTATACAGTGTCATTAATAAATACTTGGAAACTGCTCCTAAATCCGCATCATATCCCAGGAAGTCGCTCGATCTGCCGCTGGTCACTGGCAAAAATCAATTGCGGGGGAGGGAAAATACCCAAAAAGTTGCTCAATCTGGGGACAAAATCGCTCAGCTGGCAACAGCGGCTGCCCTCACCGCTTGAAGATGACGTAGGCAACCAGCCCCACCACGACCGCCGCCATGATGGAGCAGTAGACGGGGATGATGTCGCGGGACTGCCCGCCCAGCGGTTCCTGGCTGCTGGCCGGTGTGCCGTGCGTGCTGTTGGCCACGCCGGAGAGGCCCCCTTCCTCCTCGCGCTCCGTCTCCCTCACGCGCGGCCCCGGGGGGACCCCCGCGGCCCACGCCGTCCCAGCGCCGCCGTCAACATCCCACTCGGGGAGGTCGAGCTCGTCCGGCTCGGGCCCGCGGGGGGACATCGTGCCGCGACCTTTCGGCAGCAGGTCCGGAATGCCGGGGTTCTTGTCTGGGGAGCGGGGACACATTCGCCGCGAGTGGGGTGAATGAATGTTCATGGGATCGCTTTTAATTGATGTAATGCGATGTATTTTTTTTCCCGAAACCGATTAGTGAACGTTTAAATAAAAAAATATAGCGCACGTTGTAAAGCCACAACAATGGGCTCTATAGTGATGGTGACCAGACGTTTCAATATGTATTTATGCAATGCTAGACATATATTCAAGTGCAAGGTAGTGAATGATGGTGTAATCATATGCATTAAAATTACGTGTTGTAATATATGAACGTGTGTCGATCCACTGCTGAACGAAAGCCTTCCCATGCCGTGTTGTACACTGGCGTTGTTTGATCATCATTCACCAGGTTGGTAAGTACCAGTTCATGAAAGGAGTACCCAGGACCGGTTCAGATGAGGCTCGTCACTCGTGTTAATCATGGCCAGGAATAATACTCAGGTTGTGAGTTTGGTGTAATATAACGGAGAAGAATCGTGCATTTTCATATTTTGAAAAGAAAATTTTTGCACTCTGTGTACAACAACATCATTACACAAGCTTAACATTAAACTTTCAAACGCGTGCAATGGGCGTAACATATTTTAGAAGGAGCACAAAACGGCAACTGTGGACGTAATGTAGCAATCATGGCAAAGTGCTGTTGTTCTCGACAAATTGCTGAAGCACGTGTTTGTGTTTCGGGGTTGCTATGCTGTTACGCTGCATGCCGCAACGGCATGCTCACTTTTAATATTCTACTCCGAAAGCCGGGCAGCTTCAGCTCGCACAGTTTTGGACGCACGCACGCACACGCGCACTCACGCATGCGCACGCACGCACATTAGGAATGCAAGAACTCTCGGTGTGCATCTGTTGCGGTGGCCACGCTCTCCACAAGACATCTGCGTGTGACTCGCGCAGACACAAAGGTCTCAGCCACCAGTTGTGCCACGAGGGAACGGCGCAAGGGTCCGGTGTCACCTCGGGGTGTGGGAACGAAACACTTTCAGGGGCAGCTCTCTGCGGCAGGCCAGACTTAATAAGAGCTGCAAGGGCAGCATTATCGGCGGATGCATTAATAACTGCCGTCAGAGGTCCCCATTTTCATGGTAATCAGCCTCTATTACGCCATTTGTTTACATGAAGCGCTTGAGAACTTATTGAGCGCTCCATTCACTGCCGGCGTGTAGGGGCCGGGGACAATAGGCGTCGCACTAAATCCTTTGACGGCCCGTGTGGAGTAATCCCGTAATGAAACGCGGCACCCAGTGCCGTGGCCCTGCCATGCCTCCCCCTCCGTCATTCTCTCCCTCCAACCGCTGCGCGTAGGCAGCGTTCCCAGCAAAAAAGGAACTCGCGCACGCAATATAAACTGGCGAGCATTCACTCCGATGTTTCGCCGGAGCTTTATGTTCCAGTTGCAAACTGAGCTACGATTTTATTTTTCCATGAATGCTGGCGGATCGTCGGCACAACATCGCCGCTACAAAAAAAAAGGATAATCGCGAGAGGGCACCGAAAATAAATGAGCAAAAGGCCCTGGGTACGTTTTGAAAGGGCAATGGAAAGCGACGTCGCCGGTGCGAATGCGCGACTTATGGTTGCTTGAAAAGACGTCAAGTGATAGATGTCAAACCTGCGTTAGGATTAGTCATTGACAGGAACATTTTGGTCAATAATGAGAACAATGCACTGAGCACTTCGCCACCAGAGGCTGGTGGTGGGCATGGTCCCACTGTCGCTCGAAGGCCCAAAGGGCCCCCGGGGATGAGAAAGAGAGAATCAGTTGCCCACCTCCGGCACGTTGCAAACAGCGGCGTGCGACTCGCCGCTCCCAACTACGATCACCCCGAGGGCAAGACCCCCCCTCACCGGACCAGTCACCTCACAGTGGGTCCCTGTCGCCGTCCCCAGAATGTGAAGAATGCGGTTCACTCGAGTCCGACTAAATTTCTCAGGCTGCACGTTTTTATGTTTTAGAGTCGATCGACGGAATTATCTTCCCCGCAAATCCGTGCCAGCTGCGTGCTCGCTCGGTCTGGAGCTCCACGTGTAGAGTCGTGAGATAATTTTAATGGATGTCTGTGATTTTTTATACATATATAAAATTTAACTCGAATGTATCCGTGTGTTTCACGTATACATGTAGAGGAGTCGCTCCCTTGGAACACATTTTCCCACCGAGGACGGCTGGACACCCACGCTGCAGCCAAACTCACCGTGACCGATCTAATGGCATTGCCGGGACAACGGGCCCAGGCACGTTCCTCACGGGAGCTCTGCCCCTCTCCCCGACCCCACGTCTCCTGCCGGCCGGGGACCCGGGGAGGGACGTCCACAATGGGGTGAGACGTGCCACGGCAGGCCAACCCCGGTGCCTTTATGTGCGTGCGAGTGTGCGCGGGTGTGTGCATGTATATGAGTGTGTGTTGGTGCGTGTAAGTGCACATGCACTTATTCAGGCTGCGCAAGTGTGAGAGTACGTGTGTGCACGTGGACAAAGGGGCGAACGAGCGTGCATGAGCGCGCTCGTGATTGGGGTAGGGTCGGCGCGTCGTGGGTGGGAGTAGATCAGGCAGACTTCGGTGTCTGCTCCGCAAGCTCGGCTCTACGTTTAGAGAGAGCACGTCCGCATCGAGCCACTCCGGTGCTCTCCCCGCTCGCCTCATCTTGCCTTGACAAAAGAGCGAAGGGAATACCAACGTCCCCCCCCCCCCCCCATCCAACGCAAGTTCGCGGGGGGCTCTCGTGGTGGCGAAGCCTTGGGTGAAAATTGAGCGCACGTTGCCTTGCGCCGCAGCGCACTCATCGGTCTTCACCGAGCGGATGCTGAGCAACTCTCGCCGGTATTTTAAGTCGAACTCTGATGCAGATTTGCTCGAGTGTGCATATCACGTGTAAGGCAAACTTGCGTTGGCCCTCATACAGGGGTGCTCTCGATCACTTGTGTTTCCTAAACCAAACCCTTGCGCGTCGAGGCGATAGCGGACACTTTAATGCCGCTGCCGCCGCTTACATCGTAAACCGAGCACATGGCTGTCCTGCCAGGCACGTCCGGGCTGTGCGGTCGCACCGCACATCCCAAACGCGCCTGCCTGTGGACCTCATCGCCCTGCACGCCACGAGTCGCCCTCGAGAGAATCTGGCCACGGCTGAGCAAGTCGTGCTCCTGCTGCTGCTGCTGCAGAGCAGATTTGAGCGAATTGGCCACGGCGGTGGTGGTGTGAGCGCTAATTGAATTAAGAGCGACTGGGCCTGTCACACTGCTCCGCTCTGATAAGGCACACTAACCCAGTTATGCTGGCATGTGGGTGTGTGCATGCATATGTTCCTGTGTGTGTGTGAGGAGTGGTGGCGCAGTGGTTAGTGCACTGTGCTACGAACGAGGCACTGATCCGAGTTCGATTCCCGCTCACGACCAATAACAGTGGCAAATATCTGAATCGGTCCTGGGCGTCCTCTAGGTCGACTCAGCCTTCAATGAGTACCTGGTGCGGTGTGTAAACATCAGCACTCGGGAAACAAAATCGGCCGGCCGTGCTCCTGGCCACCCCACCCCCTCGTGTGCCGTGCTGGCCTTCATGCAAATGTGTGTTCCCATGCATGTGTGTGTGTATGTGTGTTCCCATGCATGTGTGTGTGTGTTCCCATGCATGTGTGTGTGTGTTGCCATGCATGTGTGTGTGTGCTCCCATCAAAATTAAAACAGAACCTTCTGTGCGGAAACATTCTAGCCGAGTGGATTGGACCGAAGCTGGCTTATTTTTAACGCATCAAGGATGCAGGTTCGAATTCTCATCAGATATGTGCTTTCTATAACCTCCCCCTCGGCTACAGGGTCTCTCCGCTGAGTGACACCAGTGATCTCTAACCCATTCAATGGTTAACACTATATACGATAGATTTTTCTGTTTAAAAAAGAACGTTTTCCTAAACCCGTGGTCTAGAAAATTACGGAAACATCTCACACCGTTCCATAACAATGCAAACTGTTTACCCAGGAGAGCTTCGCCGAGGAGTCTCAAGACTTTTTTCAAGAGCGTCCTGCATTGCTGATGTTTCACCAGCTCCCTTGAATGAGTGTTTTGGCTTCATGCGGTTGGGAAGTGAAGAAGACGGATAAACTCTGCACTCCCGTGCCCTGGGCAAAAACATCCTGCAGCCCCACGACACCTGACAAACCGTGGTGGTGGTCACACAAAGCTCAAGCCTGTTTAGCTTCTGATATCACGGCATATTCAGGGCAATTTGGTCAACGATATTATATGTGTTTTGTTTAACATTTGCGGTATGGTGACCGTCACTTAATCCGTAATGTCTTCTCTGCACGTGGGGTATCGCAGTGCAACGTCATGGTGATGCCAAGCGTTGAATGCTCCTGCCCAAAAGCACGCGCCATGGTAGAGCGTCCTGCCAACGATGTGTTTTTTTTTTTAATGCATACTTCAGCGTTTGAATGGTTTTTTTTTCTTCCCTTTCTTAGGCATGCCTCTGATATTATATAACACGGTAAACATTGTCGATGTGGTAATCTTCACTTGACATTTGTTATTTTATTTCACGTATATATAAAATTTGAAATCATTTTGTCGACGTGACTTTCTGGGAAGCTTTTTGACTGCCCTCACATGTATGAATAAGTAAGTAGAGAGACATTTTAGCTCATCACTTTTGATGCACTTGTGCTCCCTTCGGTATTCATTTTTCCCATCGTTGCCATTCACAAACAACAACAACAAGGACCAACGTAACCGGCTATCCCTGATTACTAATGCTCCATGCATTATTGAATCCAAGATGAACCCGCCGGACTGCGCCGCTCCGGCAAAGAAAAATCAATAGACACTTCTTTTTTGAGGCTGGAAAAAAATGTGGGGGAGCTTTCGTCCTCTGTCCTGTATTTTTAAAAGGGGGTCGTCCCCCCCACTCCCCCTTCCGACAGTTCACTTCAATTAGGAGCCAGCCCACAGTGTCAGGTCGGGCTGCCGGGACGGATTGACAAAAGGCATTACGGCCGCCAGCACCTGATCACACGAGTCCCTGGGCACCAGCGAAACCCGATCGCGTCGGGGAATAAAGGCGCCGGCGGGAGGGTGGCAGCTGGGACGGACAGCGGGGCCCACGCCTCGCCCTGCGTCCACGGGATCGCCGGTCTCCCCCGCGCCGCACAAGTCAATACCGTATTCATGACCATGCTGCGGACACCGTGCAATGTTGCGGAGCTGTGTGCCACAAGTGCAGGCTAAAATCCTTACAAAGCGTGCGTTTAAATGTCACACCTTCACGACGCAGATGAATGTTACACGTATTTTGCACTTTAAAACATTCATGAAGTGGCCTTTTGAATGCTTAATGAATAAGAGCAGCGTAGAAGCAGAGTGGAGGTACATCTAGAGCCACTTTTTCAGGGCCACTTTGTTCTTTCGCGGCTGGCGAGGGGAGGAGATTGGGCGGCACTCCGAGTATTCGGGTTTCGCGTGAAGTGCGCAGGGCGGCGGACACAGAAAGGTCGCTTCCTAAGGTCACGGGGGTTAAGGAGAACAAGTGGTCATAGAGCAGAGGGCATTGCTAACCTGGGTCATGTGGGCTTCGTTTTCAGTAGGGACCTCGAGGTCGGTAACATTATGCGTCGGTGCTAAGTGAATGATGTTGAAGCATGTGTGCGCGCGTGTGAGTGTGTGCTGGGGGAGCGGTAGTGTAGTGGTTCGCACGCTGTGCTACGAACCTGGTGACCCGCGTTCGATTCCTGCTCATGGGCAACACCAGTTACGATGATCGGATTTGGTCATGGGCCTGCCCTAGGTTGACTCAGCCTTAAATGAGTGCCTGGTGCGATGTGTAAACATCGCCACTTAGGAGACAAAGGCAGCCGGGGATAATGCTGGCGACCTATCGCCTTGCGTGTCATGCCGGCCGTCATAGGTGCTCGCTAATTACACTTCGCCCAGTCTGTTAAGGCTACATGAGGGATGTGTTTCTTTGTTAGACCAAATGTGGGATCTTAGTCATATTCGTGTGTGTACAGATTTTTAAATATTCTCGGTTTTGTACGTTTTATTTTATGTTCAGCGCTCTTCAGATGCCTTGAGCGATTAATTGGTTGTCTTTAAAATGCCTAAATTATACATCATTTGGAAATCTTTTTAAAGAAACAATATAGACAAGCATTATTTAAATAAACGCATTGATATGAAATTAAAAAAAATCGTAATGTGCACAAGTAACATTACATCCCTTTCATTTACCCAAGAAATCCTCACTGGGTCACAAGATTCATTGTCAGGAGGGTACCGCTAGATTGCAATGTTTGTCCATTTCCATTCATGGGGGAGAAGGCCAGAGTCCCCGGAGAAGCACACAAACAAGAAGGCAACATTTTTAACTCTGCAGGGAATCCATCCATTGGTGTGCTGCTGCCTCGCAGCCAAAGCCTACAACATCTGTTATCCTCAAGCAGTCACCAATCCAAATATTGACCCCGGCTCAATGCTGCTTAGTTTCCGAGATCCAATAAGATCTGGTGTTTTCAAGGTGAATTGGTCATAGGTATAGAAACCGTTTATTTAAGACAATTGACTGACTTCAAAGACACACGCGCACGCCCGCCCGCACACACACGGGCAGACGAAGCCAGTCTCTCAAAGAGTCTATTTTCATGCCATGCCCAGCTGATTCTCCAGCAAACACACTGAGCGAGCACGCCACACGCAGTGAAATAGACCATAACCGTCGTCTGCACAGCTCCGTAAGGAGGTGGTTATTATTAAATCCTTGTTAGCTGCAAAGCAACTGTTCCAGGTTGTGGTCTCTACTGGTCTGAGTGGTTAAAGCAAAACAAAAAAGGAAAGCCCACCCTTTGTGTATAAATAGACAATGGCCCTTTTGTACGTACCTAGTTGATTCTCTGGAGCTCGCCGTTTAATGTGTTTGTTCCATACCCGCATGGACACACACATAGGTGGGAAAAGTGTGCAGGGGCGCCAACGTCGCGTTACATAAAGGTGGATTCATTTCTTTATAAAGGTGTAAATAATGCGTTAACGTGCAATGTTAAGCAAAGGCTCTGGCAGCAGCCCGCTGGGTCTAGAGAACACTACATTCAAATAGCGATTGGTCGACCAAACGAAGAAGCAAACCTCTTGAATAAGAACCCCAAAAGGTCGCTAGACCTAGAGACAATCTCGCCGAGTTACCAACGCTGACGGCACGGGACGGGTAGGGTCGACAGCACGAAGGTGGGGGGGGGGGGGGGGGGGAAGGCCGCCGTGCAGAGAAGAGGAGAGGACTCACCGAAGCAGATGGTGTCGGCGCTTGGCGTGCACTCCTTGAGCTCCACCTGGTCGTCAGAGCAGCTGGCGCACGGCATGCACGGCTCGGCGTTGCTGCTCCACTCCGAGTAGAACCCCGGCGGGCAGAGCTCGCAGGTGGCGTCGCCGTCCGGCGAGCACTGCGACACGACGCCCGTGCCCGGCGGGCACAGGCGGCAGGGCACGCACGCGCCGTCGGTGTCGCGCGCGTACAGCCCGTCGTCGCACTCGCACACCGTGTCGTCGGCCTCCGTGCAGGGCGAACGCACGCGCGTGCCCCCGGGGCACACGCGGCACGGCAGGCAGCGCTCCGTGTGGCTCCACGACGACGAGAAGGTCAGGCCTGCGCGTACGGCAGAGGCGGTGGCAGCAGCGATAGTTGGATAGTTGCTAGGTCAGACTAAAGCGAAACTTTTTATTTTATTTTTGCAAGTGAGGTCCACTGAGCTATGTAGTTGCGACTGGTGTTTTATGTCGGCTGGCCATTGTTTGATTGTTAGGTTCATTGCTTGTACATATAAACTCATCTGTGTATACGTGGTGAAACTGGAGAGCCCCCACCCTCATGCATTGGGGAGAAAATTAAAAACAAAACTATTTTTTATTACGCCAGGTAAGGCCCATACAGCTCTTTTTCACAAGCAACCTGGCCACAAATGATGGCTCAACGAAGTGGCTTATCATCATGTGGTAATTTATAGCAGGCAAATACTCTGAATGCATGGCGATTATACATATGGAGGGGAAAACCAGAGGACCTAGAAAAATGATCCACGCGACCACGGGGATAACATGCAAACTCCAAGTATACAGGTGTCAGGTTTGGGATCGAATCCCCGACCTCGCGTATACCAAGTGAGGTAGTTAACATTTCTCGATGGTTTAAACCTCATTATCCTCATGATCATCAAAACCATCATCATGAGTAGCAATGATCTAGTTCACAGCTGGAAGGACTAACCCAGACCGTGACCTGCCAATTCAGGGAATTGTTGTGATTCATGGCCGCTATTCGATTCAAGACATGGTCAGTATTCATCTCGTTTTTATTATTTCTCGTTTGTACACTTTTGTTTACCCCATTGCCATAAACACAAGCAAATCCATCATCATTGGCCATGATATATCCGCTCTTGGATGAAGGCTTTCCCAAGCGATCGCACCTCTCACGGTCTCCACCATCGGTAATCATCTCGTCAAGCAACAAATCCTCCACAGGCCAACTTGCTGGTCAATGCGATGTCTCTAATTTGCGTATATGATCTCTAAAACCACCTGCACAGTTTGTATTAAGAGTCAAAGTGCCTTCCCGACCTAACGAGCAATTGTGCGACATTTACCTCCATCTGTAGCGCTAAGGCCACGATGAACGAGGGAGAAAGGAAGGGCAATCATCACTCAATGCTCGTGCGTGTCCATCTCAGTCAACTATCTTTTGGATCACTCTGTACATCTGTATATATGTTGAACTTATTTCAAACCGCACGTAGTAAACCATGCTCATCGCAGGTGCGGGGGAAGGACAACAACTAAACATAAAAAGCAATTCTAAAGATTTGCAATCTATATTTAAAAGTGCAGTGGCTTCTTAATATCAGAAGGAAGAACATTTCAGTCAGGCGCAAAAGCGCATCTGAAAGCGCGCGATACGGTGACCATCTTTGTTCGATGGCTAGCCAAAAGCTGCCGCTGTAAGGATGACCGGAGTTTGCGTGATAGTTTATGCTCCTTGACGAGATCGGCAAGGTATTGTGGTTCATTTGTGGCAAGCACTATGCGTGTATTGAGTACGACCTTATAACGTATTCAGGGAATTGCAAAGTTGCCCGGTGTGTGGTGCACGTGTGTGTGCATCTCCCGCGTCCTCTGTGCCGCGTGCAGGCACTCACTGTCGTGGCAGGGCTCGCACTGCGTGTTGTTGCGTCCACGGCACCTCTCGGCCATGCCCCAGCCTGGCCCGCACTCCTGGCAGCAGCGGCCGTCGCCCGTGAACTCATTGCTAGGGCACGTGGGCGCCCCGATCACCTGTCGCGGGACACACAGAGACGGGCGCTGAGGTTTTTGAGACGCGGCGCCAGGTTGGGTCACGGAGGACGTGGAGATGCGGAGTCCACGGAGTTGTGCCGGCACTCGATCAGAGACACGGAGCCACGCTTACAGAAAGAGACACCCGGAGGCACAAAGTCGCTGCTGAGACTCGGAGACGCCTGGAGACAGAACGAAGCTGGGACTCGGAGATGTGAAGACGCAGAGTCACGCTGAGCCTCGTAGACGAGTAGGGGACACGCGACAATGCTCAGACTAAAACGTACATGGAGATACGGAGCAACGTCAAGCGTAGAGACACTTTTACAACCTAAATTTTATCTACTGCTGGAAGGGTCCGTGACGATGAAATGTCTGTTACGGTTGAGCTCCATTTGTAATCTCATCCCCCTGTGCGATAGCAGAGGCACCTTGAAACCCCACACAGACTTCACGCACAATGGTCACTCATCACACACTTGAGGACGCGTCCATCATTTCAGCGTGTCCCTCTCCCAACCCCCGACTGCCACGTAGAGCGAGAAGCGAGAAGCGAGCGGGGGGCGGGGGGGTTACAGCGTTTACACAGCCTGGTCCGCTCGTGAATTTTAAAGAGCCCTCCCCGCACAGCACGGGCAATAGAACTCCATTGTGCTCGCACGGAGGAGCAAATAAACGCATCTCGGTGCAGGCGGCAACGCGTCCTGCCCCCCGCTCGCAAGACGAGGCCCCCCACCTCATCACCCCGTCGACTGAGTGACAACGCCGGAGCACAAGGGGGCATTGACAAGACCCGCGCGCTTGGCGCGCATCGTGCGAGGCGCGGATGAAATAACAACAAGAACGCTTTGAGAATGAGACGCGGCAATTAAACAGATTGCATCAGCCCGACACATGTGTGATAATAGTAGCCCGTCAATGTGCTGTTGTGCAGCATTGCAATAACGATTTCAAATGATAATTATGATTATAATTGACAGCCCTTTGTCAATCCACTGGTGGGTGAAGGCCTTCCCACACCATGGCGGTTATGAGAGGCTGTTTGACCATACTTCACCACGCCGGTCAGTCCCTGGACCAGTTTAAATATCATTCACCACCGGCATTAGCCGTGGCCATGAACTTAATTCAAATGAATAGTTTTTTTAGTGAGGTGTGCTAACCGCTAAGCCACCACTCCACCTGGTGTGGAGCATTGTGGGTAAATTAATTGTGTTTTATCCACTTGGCTTTTCTGAATAAAATATGTTTATTTAATTAGCCTTCATATAGATAAACAGATGGCCTTTATAACCAGGCAAGAGCCCGTTGAGACCAGCAGAAGTGTTTTTTTTCTGGAGACACATCTGCTTGACCTTATGATATGCTTAATGCATGAGGAGTGACTGTATTGAATGTTGCATACGAAGCATATGGCCACATTTTAAGAAAGGTGAATCCAAAAAAACACATAGTTCATATCTATCAGATACAGTGTGTACCTAGGCAGCATGTCCTGCACAGTAAAACATATATTTGAAGCTCAGTTAGCCTCAAATGTCACAGCACTTACGTCTGTATCAAGCCGTATGGGAGGCACAGTATGACTGTCTTTTTTTTCTCATGAACAAATGTTTTAACTCACGAGGGACAACCCAGGAGATGGAGCCCGCCCATGGGTGTGAATCTACAAGAGAATCGCTGTCTCGTCTGTTGCGTCGTATCTGCCAATAGTCAGAGCATAAAGTGAAAGGGGATGGAGTTTGTGGAGTGCAGCGTGAAGGGTCCAATCTCTGTGGGTCAGAT